CGGACCCGGATCCGTGTTCCGACGATCCCGGGGAGGTCCGTAGGAAAATATGGGACATTGGCGTATGCCTGGAATCGAATTCCGAGGTCCCTAGCCCGAAAGAAAATTGTTTTCTGGGAAAATATATGAGTTTTTGGAAATGAAATGTGTTTGAAATTTGATGGTATCGGGCCCATATTTTGGTTCCGAAGTCCGGTACAGGTCTTATATGTGATTAAGTTGAGTCTGTGAAATTTGGTAAGAAACGGACTTGAAATGACGTGAATCGGACCTTATTTGAGAAAATTGGAAAAACTTGATGTTCTTAAGTGGTTTCATGATTTTGATGTTAAATTCATAGTTGTTGATGTTATTTTGGTGATTTGAATGCACGAACAAGTCGGTATGATATTTTTAGGTTGGTGTGCATGTTTGGTTTGGAGCCCCGAGGGCTCGGGTGAGTTTTGGATAGGCCACGAGGTGGAATTTTAACTTAGGAAATTGCAGGTTTTTCAGCTAGTATGATCAGGTCTGCAGGCTTCGCAAATGCGAGGCCTAGCTCGCAATTGCGAGCTCGTAAATGCGACAAAGCCTCGCAAATGCGAAATTGGACCTGGGCAGCCTTAGTCGCAAATGCGACTCTTCAATCGCAAATGCGAAGATGATCGGAAATTTGACTTGGTTGCAAATGCGACATTATCTTCGGAAATGCGAAACTGCCAATTTTCTAAAGGGTTCGCAATTGCGGACCCTGGTCGCAATTGCGACGTCAGAGACCTTTAAATTCATAACTTAGACACATTTCAACCATTTTTCACACTCTTTCAAAATCAAAACACTCTTGGACGATTTTCAAAGACAACTTCTCTTCCAAATCGATTGTAAGTCATTTCTTACTTGTTTTCTTTAATCTTTAACATCTTTTCACATGATTTCAACTCAAAATTAAAGGTTTTCATGGGGGAAATTGGGTGTTTTGGAGAGAACTTAGGTTTTTTCAAATTTTGGGGATTTGGACCTCGATTTGAGGTCCAATTTCAAAATAAATTGTATATTTGAGTTCGTGAGTGAATGGGTAACCGGGTGTTGGTCTGAACCTCGGGTTTGACCATGTGGGCCCGGGGTCAATTTTGACTTTTGGGAAAAACTTTAAAAAAATTTATTTCCATGCATTAGAATTGATTCATTTAGTATTTATTGATATAATTAAGTAACTTGTGGCTAGATACGAGCTAATTGATGGTGGAATCAAGAGGTAAAGCGATAGTTGAGGCTTGAATCTTGTTCGAGGCATCAAGGTGTTTGGTCTAACCTTAGCTTGAGGGATTAGGAGTCGTGTCCTATTTGCCATGTGTTATTTGTTATGTACGACGTATAGGCATGGTGACGAGTATCTATACGTTGGTGTCAAGCATGCCCGTGAGTCTTATGTTATGATTAATGTGACTCCATTTGTATTGTTCACGTGTAATGTGATGATTTCTATTGTTGAGCAAGGTTTGTGGAAAGAGTTTTGGTATTTGAACAGTGAAGAGCGTTGGCTCAAGTTGTGAAGCGAATTATGAAAGAATATTTGGCAATTGAACCTTATGGAACATTGGCTCAAATTGTGAATCGAGTCGTGAAGTAAATGTGAAAAAGAGAAGAGGATTATGGTGTTGTTCCCTTGTCGGGACATTGTTGCTTTTAATATTGTTCTCTTGCCAGGATGTTGTTACTTTTTTTTTGATATTATTCCCTTGCCGGGATTTTATTGTGATATTATTGTGATTTCATTTATTTTATTGCCCTTATTGTTTGTGATTATTGTTTGGGTAAGGAAGAGTGTTAAAGCACGAAGGGTGATGCCGTGCATTGTTTTGTGAGGAAGAGTGTAAAGCACGAAGGGTGATGTCGTGCCGCACGATGTACAATTCCGTGCCTTTATATGAGCGATTATGTGAGGTAAAAGCACGAAGGGTGGTGCCGTGCCAATTATAATGATTTTCATGCTGAGGACAAGAGTAAAAGCACGAAGGGTGATGCCGTGTACTTCTCCTTGATTTTCCTTATTACACTGATAATTGAGTTACGGTGTTCTTTATGTTTACATACTGATCTCCTGTTGTTACTTGATTTTATTGCAATGTTATTGATTCCCTTGCCCAAATTGCTCTGTGATTATTATTTGGGTGAGGAAGAGTGTAAAGCACGAAGGGTGATGTCGTGTCTGATATTTGTGAGAGAGTGTTAAAGCACGAAGGGTGATGCCGTGCATTGTTTTGGTGAGAGAGTGTTAAAGCACGAATGGTGATGCCGTGCACTTGTCTTTGATTTCCTGATTTTTATTGATAGCTGAGTTATGGTTTCTCTACATTAAATTGTTTGTTTTCTGTTGATACTTGTTGTACCCCGCAGCATGTTTCCCCTGTCTATCTTTAATCGAACTGTGGTGATCCTTATATTCACTTGTTGTCCTTATGCTATTATTCGATGTCCCCGCAGCATGTATTTCCCCCCTCCCATCCGTAACTGTAAATTTCTGCTTTTATTTTCCGTTGTATATTATTTAACTGCACAGGTTTAATTGGTAGCCTGGTCCTAGCCTCGTGACTACTTCGCCGAGGTTAGTCTAGGCACTTACCAGCACATGGGGTCGGTTGTGCTGATACTACACTCTGAACTAGTTTGTGCAGATCCCAGTGCTGTAGGTTTCGGACCGCGGTGAGATTGCTGCTTCTTGTTCATCAGGCGACCCAAGGTAGTCCTGCAGGCGTCCGCAGGCCTTGGCGTCTCCTTCTATCTATTATTCCTGTTTCCTTCTTGTATTTCCAGAGACAGTGTTGTATATTTCTTTCAGACCTTTATTTGTAGTAATCTTAGACAGTCTGTGAAGTTGTGACACACCAGTCTTGGGTAGATTTATTATGGAATGGTATTAGCAGTGTTATTAAAACTTGAAATTAAATCTTCCGCTTGTTAAATTTTGTTGATTATTAACTGTTGGTCTAAAACTGTTAACGAATTTAAAAATGGAAAGAAGGCAAATAATTCAGTTGATTGGCTTGCCTAGCTTTCACTAGTAGGCGCCATCACGACTCCCGAGGGTGGAAAATCCGGGTCGTGACAATATATTAGATTATGTGTAAGATTCATCAAACTACTTCCCTTAATAATGTTTCCACTTATAATTTCTAATAATTAATGTTGTCCTAAAATTGCCAAATGGCTTCATTTTAGCTTGCCACTTGGCTTAACCATAATGCATACTACCCTCCTTTTAATATAATACTAGTATTAGTACATGCGCGATGCGCAGACACATACCATATTAAAACTACTTGAGTTATTTGACTTATGTGCAAATAATCTCAGAATATAAACATTCTAGATAAAAGTTAATATATATAATCATTAGATATATCATATTGTGGTATGTCTTGTTTGAGCATATTGGATCATTATATTTTAACAAAATTACTACCACTTATTTTTTCATTTTAAAGTCAAATAAGTCTTATTCACCATATTTTTACACAAATTATTTTTTTCTTTTGTTCTTACTTATAGTTATTGTATTATTGTTATTTAATATTGTTATTCCATCATATAATATTTTATTAGCTTACTAATTAACTTAATGTCTTTCTTATTACTCTTTTAATAGCCATCAATATAAAAAAAAATTATTCTTAATATTTAATATATTTTTATACTTATATCCTCTTACTCGATACTTATTTATCATTTAGATATATTAGTAATATTTTTAATTATTATTTAATTATTAATATAATATAAATATATAATAGCATCGATCTGCGTTTGAGCATATCTTTTAAGTTAAGGTATGCCTATCGGCTATGACATGCATATCTCTCTCTCTCAGATTGTATTGAGACAGTGACTTTATCTTTTTCTTTCGTGTATGATCAGAAAGTTCGAGGTTGCGATAACTTTAACCATAATGCATACTACTATAATATATAATATAGATATGATCCTCCTAACTTGGGATTAAGGGGGAAAATAATGGTCAACAAGCATGCTCACATGCATTGGACTAAAACAAGAAAAAGATGGCGCGGAAAAAAGAAGTCAAATTCGCCAATAAATTGCCCAGAAAGAAACAAACGGATAAAAAGGCAATAAAGTAGTACTACCAAATAAAGAAAGGCAAAATGACAGCTAAAGTTACAGAGCTCCTGCTGAGGCTCTCAGCAGAAACCTATCATCTAATGACAACTATAAAGATATGGGATTTGGTATGGTATGTGAAGCAATTTGACTTTAATGTTCTCTCCTAACTTTCTCCTGCCTACAAGTCAATAGATGATTAGTAGTGAATCGATGTATCACTCATCAGATACTACTATAGGATTTCCACATGCCAAATGATTGATGGGTCAGTTGTATTTGGTCGTGTGATTTTGAAACTAGTCACCTAAATAAGCGCGATTCTTTTTCCATTTACCTGCGCCCAATATTACAGCAAATAAATAAATGTAAAATATTTGTCATTTATAGACTTTTATCACTTACTATTCTTAAATAATACTATGCATTATCACTTGACTTAGGTTACTTGCTTTGGTGCAAATTTGACAAGGAATCCCAGGTAAGTATAAGTTTTCCCAATAGAAGACGTCATATATATAATATTCCTTGCATCCTAGATGTAATTTTTGCTTATCTGACTGTTTTACTTGACATGACAAATTTTAAAAAGAAAAAAAAAAACTTATAATGGTAGTGTCTCCAAATTCTGTTTAGGAGCATTTGAGGAAATATTTTGACTTCTCTGATGTTAAAAAGTAACATAGAGAATAAACAGTAATGGGGCTAGCAAAAGTGAATGTTAGAAATTTTTTCTAATATTTTTTAATGTATTAAATTTTGAAATAAGTGAGCAATATTTTGAGACAAGCCAAAAAGAAAATGCAGACCAGTAAAGCACTTGGTCACTGCCGTAGAAATTAAATTGCAAATGACTTATGCTCTTAGTTGATGAGACAATGGAGAAGAAGACACCACGCAGCACAAGAAAAAACGAAATAACTCGCACATTTTACTTTTGACAAAGGAAACATGCTGTTGTTCATAGCAACCTCCAAACTGAAGAAAAAACTGAAGAACATAACATGTGAACTAGTAATACTTTTCCCATTCTCAATACAATAAACCAAGTAAATGACACACTGTTATTTGTTAATGGCATTGCTCCACCAGATCTTTACTGACTGTAGTCCACAAGCATTTACCTTGACTTCTTACTTCGCATTCCCATCCGTGATTTTGCATATCTAAACATTTCATTAAGGAAAGATGTAATGCAAAAGCAGAAAGAATTTAAAACAATAATGGGTTTTGGATTCAGAGAAAGCAAATAACTGATGGGACTAGAGAAAGGATACTCCAGTCGCATGCCCTCTCCAGAGGTGGAAGAATAAAGAACGGTCCCTTGAAGACGACCCAATGCCTCAGTTGAGCAGGCAGTGTCCTGGAAACATGCTTAGTAATATCAATTGTAGGTTTCACCTGCGTTTATTCTTTGTGAATTTAGATGAACTTGATGTGCAGCAGATTACAATAACAACAGACCCAGTGTAGTATCACAAGTGAGGTCTTGGGAGGGTAGTATGTACGCAGCCTTACCCCTACCTTGTTAAGGCAGAGAGATTGTTTCCGATAGACCCTCGGCTCAGGAAAAGCAAAGTCAAAGCATAGTAGAAAAGAAATAGAATAACAGATAAACCACGAAAAGGAAACATAAACACGAAGCAGTACCAACAACAAGATAACAAGAAAACTGAAGCAACAAAACAACTGGTAGTAATACAAATCAAAGTATAAAGAGTACGAGAGTGCTATACATACTACTGGGAAGACAATGATAAACCTGTGACTAACTACTAGTCTTCTACCCTAGTTCTCGACCTTCACACCTTCCTATCTAGGGCCATGTCCTCGGAAAACTGCAGATAGATGTGCCATGTCCTGCCGGTCTACCACTCCCTCTCCTCAGATCCACCAAGGCAAACCTCTGGCACTCTCTTATTGAGGCATCTGGACATCTTCTCTTTACATGCCAGAACCATATTAGTCTTGCTTCCCGCAACTTGTCCACCACGAAAGCCACTCCAACCTTGTCCCGAATATTTTCATTCCTAATCCTATTTCTCTTAGTTCACACATCTATATCAGCATCCTCATTTCCGGCTACGATATGCAGCAGATATTGACCTTAATGTGGTAGCAGACTAATAGAAGAGAAACAAGATAAAGGTAATAGTTAACGTTTCCAAGTTCCAATAGCAGTACTCCCAGTGGAAGCTTCCCCACCAACCCCTTTTATTGGGACAGGGGAGGGGTTGTGTGGGGTGTTGGGATGGGTTGGCTCGAAAGATTGGTTTAGGGAAACATACATCATCAGTATGAAGTGAGATTTTGAATAGATGTGAAAGGTGACATTATGAGAAAGCTTAAAAGGTAAAGATAACACAGATGGGATATCCATGTATAGCTAAAAATATATCTCAATGACTGCAATATGCATTTAAAGAGTAACTCTCCTTCCAACTGGTTATGACTTCAACATATTGTAAAAAATCATTATCAATTCTTCAATTCAGAAAAACACATATAGATGTATGATTATCTAGGGGTGATAGGTAACACTTGTACAGCTCGCACAACTTTGTGCCACAGTTAAAGATTATTTACCATTCTCAAAAAAATGTATGAATATCTAGGGGAACACAGGAAGGCTTCTTTCGAAAAGCAGATCAGGCCTTAGGGTGAACATGCTACAAAAGCCAAATTAAGGTTCTTTATAACAAAGTAAAATCAAAATTAAGGCATTAAAGCTGCAAAACATGTTGGAGGCACTGCTAAATAATGCCTTTATAAGGCAATACTTACTGCAGAGAATAAGCTAGAGAAAGCAGTATTAAGTTTGAGGATGCATGAGAACAATTATAGTATACCATGTTGCTTTATTAAGATGCTTCCCAGTCACCAATTATGGAACACCTATCCCAAAATATGGAAGAGTACCAACTAGGTGGTTACCTAATTTATATCTGAAACAATGTGCAATGCCTCTTCAATAAGGGCGTTTTTCCCTTCTCCCCAATTTTACATTTTGTTGATTGAAAGAATAACTGCTATCCATCGAGTAAATATGGGTTTGTTAAAGTGATTTGTGCAGTTGGTGGTCCATCGAGAGTTGAGGGTCCTTACACTGCATGAGTGTTAGCTCATGTTAACTTTTAGAAACGAGAGACAAGAGAAATGAGAATAGTGGTGGCAGTTATAAGAGGGGAAGCCCAAAAGCAAAGATGCCAAACTATGGTATCTCACACGACGCCGGTAATTATCATAAGGGTGTCAGAATGGATGGCTGACCCCTAGCAATTAACCTCTTTGTTCAGCCTTCCTATAAACCAAAAACGCCAAATCATAACTTCAGGAGCATGAGCAACAAACGAGTCAGTTGCTTGGATTTAAGCATCAGTCTTAAAGACATTAAGATTCCTGATCCTAGAGCCAAGTGGGGCATTGATAAATACATTTCGCTAACAACAACAAGAGGTCTTAAGATGACATCCCACACCCAATGAAGCTCTTTGACGACAGTTCTCTTCCATCGTTGTGCCGATGTGTGGTAGTTCTTTTCCGACGTTGCTATTTCATAAAGAAAAGGTGCCCATATACCAATGTATTATATGTGAATATGTAGATAAAAGTTGACATTCTACTCCTAAGTTACCGAGCTTGCAGCAGTATATTTCTTAACTCGCGCATAAAATCAAAAAATAGAGAAAATAAGAAAAGATTTACCAGAATAATCAAAGAGGTGAACCTAAGATGGCAAAACAGCAAAATAGAGGAGATGAAAACAGGCGAAATGGTACTCTGTTCAGCAAAACCCCAGCCTTAAGTAACAAGGTCAAAGTGCACATTATCATGCCAGTGCGCGCTAACCACAGTAAAACTGAATTACCAGTTGGAAGCACAAAATTTTCATCGACAAATTTATATAAAAGAATGGTGAATCTTGGATGTTCTGCAGTTAAACGATTACTTGAATGAAAATGCAACGGCTAAATAATGTGCTTACTGTTTTCTTGAAGATTTTAATTAGGAGATGCATCTGAACTTCCTTATTAAGATTGCTGAGACAACAGGATAAAACATGTAGTATTTCCTTGTTAACTGGCTAAGGATTAGCTAAATTAAATAGGGGTCAATGAATCTACAGGGAAGAAAGAAAAAGTTGTTGGTAAAGGGATAAAGATGCACTTAGAAAAAGATAAAGGACACGCAGAAGAAGTGTGGGAATAGGTTGAGCAACTGCCACTGCAAAGATGAGTATTAACCTTACCTGAAAGTCGACAAAAGCAACAGGAGCTCCATATGTGCCCTGCATCTTCAACTTTAAAAACCCCCGACATCTAACAATGTCAAAGAAAGCACAGTAACCATCCAGTATACCAAATACTTCAGGGGTTAGAACTAAAAGGGAAACTTGTCAAAACCTTGAAAATACTTGAATCAGCTCTTGCTCATTACAACTTTGGCCCAGATTAGCAACGAAGATTGTTGGACATGGATCAGCCGCCTGTGGAACGTAAGGTCATGAACGATCATCACATTAACAAAAAAGGAGCTTTGGACTCGGAATAAAGCGAGAATCCAAGACTAAGAATGGCAGCACCGCCACTAGTTTACAGAATTAGCACAAGATCTGTTTAAGAGTATGGTCCTTGTATGTGACATGAGTGTACATTTGAAGCACCAATTTGAGTCTTCAGAAAAGAAAAAAACTTAACTTCAAATATCCTAGTTGTCAGCCAAGAAGCAATCTCATAGAGGATATGCACTCATTGTTTTTGCTCATATGGCCCCAAAAAGAGAATATTATTTAAAATGATTTAGACCTTTGATGCACTTCCAAATGTTAGCTCCCTTAAACAAATTGACCATGCTTTGCATTCACCAGAGCAATTTCACAAAATAAATCTAACAGAGTTGGAAAACATATAATCTACAAAGCTGCAATATTTTGCACTTGCAACAGAAAATTTGGAGTGTTGTAGAAACTAGAAAGTGATTTGATCTTAATGTTATTGTATACGGTTAAAATAGGGCTTGCCCTTTTTATGCAGCTGATCGAGGGAGGAGCGTGATTAGCCGAGGATCGGCTCCGATTTATATCAAACTATGGTGCAGAGTTAAGTTGTCAAGCTCGAGACCCTGAGACAAATTAAGATTGAGATCGACCAAGATCGGGACCGAATAAGATGGAGATCGAGGGTAACGTACTAGGTTGAGCAACGGAAAGACGAAATATCCGCAAACGGGCGAGGATCACGGTGCAGATCCCAGCACGTATCAAGAAGAGGCCGATTAATTAGCTAATTAGGGGATTTCTTACTGTATTTAGAATTGTACCAAGGGTAGGACTCCCCTACTATATAAAGGGGTCTGATCATTTGTAAAAGGGCATCACATACACGTTACAAAAAGCAATATATTATCATTCTCTTAAGCTCTCAATATTTCTGTTACTTTATTCATACTTTCCGGCGAAGTATTCATTTGATTCGAGGGCAATTAGCTCAAGGATCAAAGCTATACATTTCATTTGGTTTGCTTTATTTATATTTGTAGTTAATTTCAGTGTCAATTTACGTTTTCCAGTTTGTGCTAAGTAAATCACGTATCCTTAAAACCACAGTATAAATTCAATTGTTATCCGTTTTTAGGGTAAACAGTTTGGCGCCCACCGTAGGGCTAAGAATAATAGTGATTGCTTGGTACAATTTTCGTAACACACACTATTTTACGCTTGTTCTTTGAAGTGTCTTTGATTATAGGATTAAAAAATATCACACTCTCAGTCAGCACCTCAACACATTGACAATGATCTCAGCCACCATGGCGAGAATGAGAACATTGCACCAGGAAACGTTGTACCCCCTGCTGGCCTCGATGGAGCTCTGGTTGTAGACCCGATCGATCCCGAAAGCAGCGTTCGCGGGGTACCCGATCAGCTACAGAGAATACACATGCCGATGAAGATGGCGGGACCAGCCTGCGAATAATCTTCGAAATGTTGCAGGCCCAACAGGCAGCAATAGCTCAACTCCAACATCAGAACCACACGCCAAGCAGGGTCGAACTCGAGCCATCCCAGGAAGTTGTACACAGGGTCGAATCGGCTTCGAGAAAATCGGAGACCAATACCGCTATTATAAAAATGCTCGAAGAGTTGACAAAGCGAATCGAGACCGGGGAAGAAGATCGAGGAAAACAATAAGAAGGTGGTAACCTATAAATCCAGGGCCGACCAAATCCCGGGGCACCACCGATATTGAAAGGACTAGATTCCAAAAAGTTTGTACAAAAACCTTCCCCCGAGTGGGGCTCCGAAGCCCATCCCCAAGAAGTTTCGTATGCCCGAGATTCCTAAGTATAACGGGACGACTGATCCAAACGAACACGTCACCTCATACACATGTGCTATCAAAGAAAATGACTTGGAAGATGACGAGATCAAATCCATCTTGCTGAAGAAATACGGAGAGACTCTATCGAAGGGTGCTATGATATGGTATCATAATTTACCGCCTAATTCTATTGATTCGTTCTATGCTTGCAGATTCTTTTGTAAAGGCACACGCCGGAGCCATTAAGGTTGCAAATTGCAACCAGAAAGTCAGACCTTTTCAAGGTAAGGCAGAAGGACAACGAGATGCTCAGGGAATTCGTATCTCGATTCCAAACGGAACGAATGGACTTGCCACTGGTCACCGACGATTGGGCTGCTCAAGCTTTCACTCAAGGCCTCAACGTTCGGAGTTCCATAGCTTCACAGCACAGAATGTGATACGATGAGATAGAATGCAATAGAAACAAAGACAGGGAACGGGTTACCTACTCTTAACGGGCAAAGCGAGCCCCTTTATTCTTAATTCTTTAATTCAGAATCAATCAAATCTCCCCAAGTAGGATTCGAACCTACGACCAATCGGTTAACAGCCGACCGCTCTACCACTGAGCTACTGAGGAACAACAGGAGATTCGATCTCATAGAGTTCAATTCCCGTTCCCAACCCATGACCAATATGAGCTCGAAGCTTCCTTCGTAACTCCCGGAACTTCTTCGTACGGGATGTAACTCCTATGCCACATAATGGCTGTAGACCTCCGAAAAAAAGACGTGTGTAGAACTGAACATTGAAGAAATCTCAAGAGAAATAAAAGATTCGATGATCTAATCAAATAATAGTACTACGGTTCGAGAGAAAGTAACAGTATCTACTCGGACAAGCTGTCACTTGGGCCAATGTACATAATCAATATCAGTCAAAGATCGGGGTCGAGAATGATCAACTGGGGACTCCTTCCGGGTCCGTTTATGGTTGAACTAGACTAGATTTCGAGGATGAGTAGTGGATAAAAAGTCATCCCGAGGTATACTCACAAACTCTTTCACCCGCCACTAGAACCCAACCCTTAAGAGGCTAAGGTCCAAGGGGCTACCGCAGGAAGTCAGCTTCACCTGTAACCTTAAGGAATACAGAAAGTTACCCGGAATTCCTAGCAAGGACTTTGCCTTTCACCCTTAACTAGCTAACTCGATGGGACGTTATGGGTGTTGACACAAGTAGGCCTAGGCCAAGACAAGACACCTTCCTTCACTCTGCAATAGCCCGACGACTCTTCTCTTCACAAGTAGGATTGGCGCAACGATTAGTCGATTTTAGACTCGTTTATCCTAACAGGCCCGTAGATAGAATCAAGAGGGATATCGACCGAGAACCAAGGTCGAATAGAGATCGATATCAATCGTATAACAGAGACCGTAGAGGCACCTGGTCTGGGCGAAACTTTGCACGGAATGAGAGGAGAAATGATCGAGGTCAAAGTTCACGGGGACTCATGAGCAAGGGTGGTTTCGACAGGGATGCTGGACCCAAAAAAGCGCCACAATTATTGGAATATAACTTCAGCATAGATGCATCTGCCATCATATCAGCCATCGGACGTATTAAGGATACTAGATGGCCTCGACCTCTGCAGACCGATCCGGCCCAGAGAAATCCCAACCAAATATGCAAGTATCATGGAACCTATGGCCATAAAACAGAAGATTGCAGACAGCTGAGGGAGGAAGTAGCCCGATTGTTCAACGAGGGGCACCTCGGGAATTCTTAAGCGATCGGGCCAAGAATCACTTCAAAAACAAAGATTCTAGTAGACAGAACGAGCAAGAAGAGCCACTGCACGTGTTTCACATGATCGTTGGAGGGGTCGATACTCCTCAAGGACCAGTATTAAAACGCACCAAGGTGTCGATCACAAGGGAGAAGCGAACTCGGAATTACGTACCGGAAGGAACCTTGTCTTTCAATGGCGAGGATGGAGAAAGGATCGAACAACCTCACAACGACGCGCTGGTAATATCTGTACTTATGAATAAGACTCAAGTTAAACGTGTTTTGATTGATCCAGGTAGCTCGGCCAACATAATTCGATCGAGGGTCGTAGAACAGCTTGGCCTACAGGATCAGATTGTACCCGCAACCCGAGTTCTAAACGGCTTCAATATGGCATGTGAAACCACCAAAGGCGAGATAACTTTGCTAGTAAACATGGCTGGGACCATCCAACAAAGTTCCATGTGATCAGGGCGATATGAGGTATAATGCCCTATTCGGGAGACCATGGATCTATAATATGAGGGCAGTGCTTTCGACCCTTCACCAAGTTCTAAAGTTCCCAACACCAGAGGGAGTCAAAACAGTCTACGGGGAGCAACCCGCCACCAAGGAAATGTTTGCCATCGACGAAGTGATACCGATATGAGCACTCTCATCAACGAAAGGGTCAAACTCGAAGGGAAAACAACAACAACTACCCAGTAAAATCCTACAAAGTGGGGTCTGGGGAGGGTAATGTGTACGCAGACCTTACCCCTACCCCGATAGGGCAAAAAGGCTATTTTCGATAGACCCTCAGCTAAGAAAGACGAAAATAAAAAAATAAAAAACAAGAAAAGACAATTCATTAGTAACTCCAGTAGAAACCGTAATAGTAACAGAAGCATAACAACCAAAAGATAGATGACATGCAATAACAATAACCAGTATCTAAGGCCCGAGGCTAAGATAAACAGCAAGGATAGTGTGGACTCAACATAAATTGCAAGCCATCTAAGATCAACCCTAATCCAACCCCGCCTCACCCCGGGTGTGAAGTAAGGAGAGCTCTACTACCCCCTAACCTACAACCCTAATGCTTGACCTCTAGACCTTCCTATCAAGGGCCATGTCCTCGGAAAGCAGCAGTCGTACCATGTCCTGCCTGATCACCTCTCCCCAGTACTTCTTAGGTCTCCCTCTACCTCTTCTCGTACCCACCACGGCCAAACGCTCACATCTCCTCACCGGAGCATCAAGGCTTCTCCTCCGCACGTGCCCGAACCATCTGAGCCTCGCTTCCCGCATCTTGTCATCTACAGGGGCCACGCCCACCTTCTTCCGAATATCTTCATTCCTAATCTTATCTATCCTAGTGTGCCCGCACATCCACCTCAGCATCCTCATCTCTGCTACCTTCATCCTCTGGATATGGAAGTTCTTAACCGGCCAACACTCTGCCCCATACAACATGGCCGGTCTAACCACAGCTCTATAAAACTTACCTTTGAGTACCGGTGGCACTTTCTTGTCACACAAGACTCCAGATGCAAGCCTCCATTTCATCCAGCCCGCCCCTATACGGTGAGTGACGTCCTCGTCGATCTCTCCGTCCCCCTGAATCATCGACCCAAGGTACTTGAAGCTATCCCTCTTGGGGACAAGAGGTTAAATAGCAACCACATACACCGGCCTCGACCCAACCGGAGAAGCAGAGGACTGACGAGGATGATCACTATGGGGTACCTCGATCCTAAGTATGGTAAAAACTTTGTTCATCACTAAGTATGGTACCTATTGTAAATGTAATGCCATTCAGACCAAAAAATGCCGGTGCAACCAATTAACACCTAGTAAACCGAATGTCTGAAGAACAAATAGGGAAATCTATGGAAGTTTATATTGATGACATGCTAGTTAAGTCCCTGCGAGCAGAGGACCATTTGAAGCATTTGCAAGAAATACAATATGAAGCTCACCCTAGAGAAATGTGCATTCGGGGACGGGTCGGGCAAGTTTCTCGGATTCATGGTGTCAAATGGGGGAATCGAGATCAACCCCGATAACATCAAAGCAATCGAGAATATCGCGGTAGTGGATAACGTGAAGGTTGTACAAAGGCTAACCGGGCGCATTGCAGCCCTGGGTCGATTCATCTCGAGATCGTCCGATAGAAGTCATCGATTCTTCTCGTTGCTGAAAAAGAAGAACAACTTCACATGGACCCCAAATGTAACAAGCTTTGGAGGAACTTAAGAGATACTTGTCGAGCCCGCCGCTGCTTCACACGCCGAGGGCAGACGAATAGCTTTACTTATATCTAGCAGTATCGGAGATAGCGGTAAGTAGAGTCCTAGTCCGAGAAGAACAAGGTACGCAATTCGCTATCTATTATGTTAGTCCGACCCTAGGTGAGGCCGAAACTAGATATCATCATCTAGAAAAGTTAGCACTCACTTTGATAAGCGCCTCTCGGAAACTAAAACCATACTTTTAATGTCATCCCATATGTGCGGTAACAACTTATCCCCTCCAAAATATTTTGCATAAATCCGGGCTTTCGGGGCAATTGGCCAAATGGGCCATAGAATTCAGAAGGTACGATATTGAGTATCGACCCCGAACAGCCATCAAGTCTCAAATCTTGGCAGACTTCACGCCGGCCCTAGTGCCCGAGGTTGAAAGAGAATTATTAGTTAACTCGGGTACATCTTCGGGGATCTGGACCCTCTTTATAGACAGTGCTTCGAACGTAAAGGGGTCCGGACTCGGCATCGTGCTGAAACCACCCACAGGTACCGTGGTTAGACAATCTATTAGAACTGTAAAATTGACTAACAACAAGGCCGAATATAAGGCCATGATTGCAGGTCTCAAACCAATTAAGATCGAGACCGAATAAGATGGAGATCTAGGGTAGCGTACTGGGTCGAGCAACGAAAAGACGAAATATCCGCAATCAGGCGAGTATCACGGCGCAGATCCTGGCACGTATCTAGAAGAGGCCAATTAATTAGCCAATTATGGGATTTCTTACTGTATTTAGAATTGTACCAAGGGTAGGACTCCACTACTATATAAAGGGGTCTGATCATTTGTAAAAGGGCATCACATATACGTTACAAAAGGCAATATATTCTCATTCTCTTAAGCTCTCAATATTTCTGTTACTTTGTTCATACTTTCCGGCGAAGTATTCATTTGATTCGAGGGCAATCTAGCTCAAGGATCAAAGCTATACATTTCATTTGGTTTGCTTTATTTATATTTGCAGTTAATTTCAGTGTCAATTTACGTTTTCTTTCAGCTTGTGCTAAGTAAATCACGTATCCATAAAACCACAGTATAAATTCAATTGTTATCCGATTTTAGGGTAAACAGTTATGATGCACCTTAAGACATATAAAATCATTTGAAAGCATGAGTAAAACCTAGACATTACATGCTCATATATTAACTAGTGGTACAACACCCCCGGTTTACACATGTGGATTATTTTATCTATCACAAGATTCAACAAGGACTTGAAGTACATGCTTGATGAGTGACTAAACAGAGCCGTAAAAAAATTTAGAATTCAAAGGAGTAGTAAAAATTGGAGGAAAAAAAAACTTTCCAAATAAAAGCTGAAATTATAGACCAAACTTGTAACAGAATAACCAACCAAATTACCATTGACATTCAGAAGAACAAATGATTGTCCATGTATCAGACACCTTACCGTTTTAGAAGCAGCTTGATTCACAACTCTACCACCAAACTTTCCCTGACTGAATCACCAAACAAAAAGAAAAATATAATTTAGAATAGAAGTAATCCACAAGATTAATACAATACTAAGATCCAATACCCTACTTCAGGGAACATGGAATAGAGAAACTATTTCTATTTGGTGCTCGACTTTCAGCTAGAAGTACAAGTACTTGGAGCATTCCAGTCAGAAGGAATCACTTGGAGTAACAAAAATGTGCTTAAGAAGTGCAGATGACCTTTGTGTGGGTGGATAACCAATCGTGTTGTAAGCAGAATTACCCATTCCAGGCATGTGAATGCTGCCAAGACCTGCTAGTGCCCAAGCGTGCAAAACATGTGCGAAGTGAGCATTTAGATAAAGTGCTTTGCAGTGACTGACGAGCAGTTAATCCTTAAATGACATCAAATTAGTTAAATGTGACAGCCTAAAAACAACACACAAGCAAATTGGTTCATATATAAATGACATGATGGCCAACAGAGTCTCAGTTTTATATGAGTGTATCCTACTAATCCAAAGGAAGAGACTGTAATATGCTATAGAGGCAGATTTATACCAGAACCACTGTCTCTGGAAATAGCAGCAGAACCTTTAATCCTCTTCTCTGATACAGGCCTCCCATCATCTGTGGTTTAATCAAACGAATTTGTGGCTTGAGGAAAAGTAATTCCAGTAATTTAAAAACCGAAAGACATCTATTCCTAACAGACCTGTCCGTAACCTCTTAGACCTTGAATTTGATTTAGCAAGCTCGATGTACAATTTGGAGTCCTTCTCAAAGTCAAAAACCATTCCCTGGACGCACATTTAGAAGCAAAGCATGTTATACTCCTTTTTTGAGAATGCCTTCCTAACATCATTATCTATTTTGTTTATTCATGACCAAATACTCTATCGGATGTGAATGAAGGAAGAGATTTGTGCCTATTTATTTTATGTCTAATGCAAAATGGTCTCTAAAAGGTAACAGAACTATGCACTACTCTCATTCTTTTCAGTTGTTCTCCATGTTTCAGGCAAGTTGAAGTTACACGTCTAACAGAAGAGAACTAGTTCTCTAAAACATAGAACATACAGGTCAAGTGCAAAATAAGATGACATTAGATGTGACCCCTCTCAGACTAAACTTCATTCAACTTTGAGATCAGAGGCAAAGGTTCCATCTTCAATATTCTTCAAGCATTCTCCATTCTAGTTTGGTTTTCCTCGGTCAAGGATCCCATTATTGCTAAGCCTCCTTCTAAGAAGCAAAAAATTAAAGTCATCATCTTAAGCATGTGTTTATCTTTTGTATAAAGTAATACGCACTCCTGATTAGAATCCTCACCTTCTTTGGTATGATGTCCAAAAGTAATATCTTCTTTTTTATTCAGTAAGGTGATGTTCGAGCCAGCTTGGGCATACCTCGACTAATCCCACCATGTACCTGCTACCTCCCACCAACATAGGTACCAAAGTTACCTGCTCACCAAGGATTGAGCAATATGGGAAGAAATCACCTAATTTTTTGCCTCCACTAAAATTTGAACCTGAGAAATCACCTAATGTCTAGTACTCCAAAGTATGGAGGGTTTACTTACATTAGAGAAAAGAAAAGAAAAAAATAATAACTAATGGCCGTACATGGATACCCAATAATCCAGAACATGGACATTGGACTAGGAAGGAAGTAAATCATTTGTTCAATAACTCACAGAATTAGAAGTTAGTATCAGAAATTGGCCTTACATTCAGTTCATACATTGCCGTAAGTGCTGAATTCTGATCTGTAAAGACTGCAAAAGCAAATGGCTGACAGGAACACAAACAATGTGTCAGACATTTAGCGAAACAGATATGTCAGACTCACATAATACGAGAAGAGCAAAGCTGATACTGAAACTAATTGAAAGAAGTTAAAACCGTAGATCCCAATAAGCAGTAAATGTGTAACATAATACCTGTGAATTACCAGAAATTTGGCTACGGAGATGGGAAGATTCATATCCTGGGAATTCACGAAAAAGGTTGTAAATTTCACGAGGCTTGACATCTTCCGGGAGTCCAGCAACGAAGAGAGTCCGAACATCGTCGTAGGAATGCGAAGGATAAATAGGAGAGGGTGCATATGCGGGGATGGGTGGCTGGTGGGGGTGATGGTATTGAGGAAGAGGAAGTGGCTGGACCATCACCGACGGCGGCGGCGCGTGAAATGTGGTGCCGGGTGGCGGAGGAGGGGCTGCTGGTAGTGGAGCTTGATAATAGGGGTACTGATAATAGGGGGCTATTTCGTCCATTGGAGACACTACAGGGACTAATCAGTGCGTCGGACTTCTTTAGTTCTTTTGCCCTATAGTTTTTGCTCCGTGCTGCTCTAATACTGTGTTAGTCCGGCGATAAATTTTCCACTTTTGATCCCTCAATTTTATATAGTTTCTGTTTTTGGCTCCAACTTTTGGTTATTAGCAATTTCTCGTCCTGTGGTTTAAACAACTACCTGATCATGTGTCCATACATCATGCCAAAAGGAAAGGAGGCATAGCCTTAACATACCTACAGTAGGGAAAAATCCGTATAATATTCTTGATAAAGATTGCACCGTACTCCCTTAGAATCACAAAATCTCACGTTGTTAATGTGCTAAGAAATCTCGTTGGTTGAATAAATCACGTTGTAGTGTTTTGTAGGAATTTCTACGAATTTGTAGCAATTTGTAACAAATCACCTTACTGATCTCCAAAACCTCACGTCTGATTGTGGTATGGTTTTGTATTGAAAATCTTAGAATTGAGGCGTCTTGTAATTAATATGTTGGGTTGCCACCTAATAAGAAATGACTATGAGTCATTTGCTTAAGAAGTAGCTTGCTGCCACGTTTTTGCTTTAGTCTTTATCCAAAGACTTCAATTAATCCACCACTAATTATTAATTAACTCGGTAATGTCTCATTACGCAATAATTAACCAATTACCCACATAATTAAGAATTATTTCCACTTACTTAAAATACGACTAACTTTTCATATACCTTATACACCTTACTATCATGGTCTTGTGGTACCTTGTATGGCACTAGTCCATAAATATCGAGTATTTTAGCTCGGGCTGTATTTTATCCCAACATGTCAAACTTGGACGAAAATTCATTTTCTTTGACTTGCTTCCCTTCTCACATTCACGAATTTACTCACCACTTGTTTGAAATAGCATAATGTTTATAATCTCAAAATAATCCCATTCCCGAACTTACGTCGATTAACTTACGACGAGACTTTAACATACGAAAATGCGGGATGTAATATCCCATTCCATCAATTTACTTATGGCGTACTTTAACGTAGAAAACATGGGGTGTAACATCACCCCCCCCCCCTCCTTTGGAACATTCGCCATCGAATGCTGACTGATGCGCTTATCATTCTCATAACCCATAGCTCTTGCGTATACTTTAATACTCTCCTTGCCATTTAGGCAACTGTTCTGTGAATAAATCAAAGGCCAGTGCATTCCCCCCTACCCCCCCCCCCCCCCCCCCGCCTTTAGGCCTCTTTCCCACACCATGACTTGTGATCGAAATCCTTCCAATCTCGTAACTGTTACTACCTTCTATCACGCAGCCTGTACGATACTGACCTTGTAAGTGTGCCTATGCTGACTATCTTTTTTCCTCCAGCTTTTAGCCAACCTCTTGGCCTTACTTTTTAAAACATATGCAGAGGTTAATAAGATCTCTCTCTGGGCATCTATAGGTTTACTAAAGTTCTTTGCTCGGTACTTTGTAGAACTTGCAAATATTGCTATATCTTATTTCATAGACCTGGTTATCCATTCGTATGAATTTACTACATCTACATAGTCATACTATACCATAACGCTTACTTCGATTTATCGTTACTGAGGTCTGCAACCAACTCTAGGTTACTCTCGTTGCTTATCCTCAAGACTGATGGTCTAATCTCATCTCATACTGTTGAACTTTTATCCATCTAATGTTGATTCACCTTAATGTTGATCCATCATCTACCACTGATAACTTGATCTCTTATGTAACACCGCCGCTAGGGCTCGCGTCTCATCGGGGACTTCTGGAGTAATTAGATTGATCCACCTAGGGGTAATACTATATTTCCATAGCCGTACTTTATAGCATCCCAATGTGACTCACATTATATGGGTATTTTAGACCCTTACAATTCATGAAATCCTCTTCAAGTCATTACTCAATCGAAGGCCCAAGCGTCATTCTTTATCTATCACAATCACACCCTCATTCTACTACCAGGGCAGCATTCCATCTCTTCTAAATGCTACTAGTCTTAGACTCCTTTGAGTTCATTCAGACTATACTGAGCTTTCTATAACTTAGAGGAACCATCAGCTCCCTTGTTTTCACGGGCTTAATCCCGAGGACTTATCCATGTTCGTCACCTTCTCACTTGCCATTTTCTTATCCTTACTCATGTCTTTCAAAAACCTTGTCGTTCTATCATACTTTAGCTTGCGAGCGATTTCCTTGTGCTTTTCTAGAACATCAAGCGAGACATCACATCGTGTCTAACTCTTCTTTTACTCTCTTGGCTAGATCTCTCGGTACCTAGAAACCATAGGCTAGAAGATATGCCACTGAAGTTGCCACTATCATTCCTGGATAATGAATCCCAGCGCCTCTAGCCTTTTGTCTGAAGTACAGACTATTCACGACCTTCTGTATTTGAGTATCTCGTACGTTGTTCACCTTTACCTTACTTACCTTAAAATCTCACATCACATCTTCTATCTCTTTCATGACCTCTCTTCCACATAGGTATAATTCATATCCACAACTTGAACTTCTATTATCATACTTGCACCTATTTACATGATTCGGTGAGAGCTTTATACTGACTTCTTATGAGGCTGGTGCATTTCTAACTGGCTTTATCGTAGAGCCGTTGTAGAATATGATTGTTGTACTATCTCTCTTGTACCTTTGATATTAAGAGTGATTCTGTAATGTTCTCAATCATGGCGTCTATAACTTTTTGGGTCCAATAGTCAGACTCCTTAATTACTTAGTTGATGTAACTCTTTAGTTTCCTCTTTCCTTTGATCAACCTTTATGTAGGCTTAAGCTATCTTCCGTTTTGCGGCTCATAGTGTTAGTTATTACTTTTAGCCTTTCATGGGCATTATGGAATATCCATGATACAATCCTTTAATAATTCAATCCTTTGTCTATGACCCGGGCTCAATTCTTTCTTTTTTTAACTTATACTGGAGTCTTCTACGACTGTATGATTGTCAACATATATGCTGCATGGCTTATACTCCGAACTTTTAAGTGCGTTCATAACGTAACTAACTCGGGATCATTGATCGAATAATTCCTTTCATTCCTTCTTAGCTTTCTTTAATATAAGCTATTACTTTTCCTGGTCTTCCTGCCCCCTTGTTGCATCATACTTAGCTTATCTTAGTTCTCACGCATGCCGGAGTTTTCCTGCAACTCATATGATCTCAAATATTACTTTTAGTCTTACTTCCCGTTCATTAGCCACGGTAGGTGCCACTTTCCTTTGGAGTGCTTACAATGTTGTTGTGAGACTGTTGTTACACGACCATTTCCTCTAAAAAGGTCATTGTGCTTAGGTTGAAGCCTTCTTCCTTATTTCCTCAGCTAGTCTTCGTTGTAGCACTTAGGGAGAACCCTTGACTCTTGTAAAGCTGTGAGCTTATTACGGACCTCATGATGTCCTTCCTTGCCTATAATTATCCGTAGTTGCTTACCTCCATGCCCTTGTGCCTGTAGGGTTGCTTCTGAATTGATATTTTGACTATCTTCCTAGTGGCACTCTCTTTTATTCCCGTAACATTCATACGGTACCTTTAACTACCCCGACTCCTAATTGAATATATCTCAAGTATTATAATGACATTACTACCAGGTTGAATTCCCCATGTTGGGGTTCACTATATTTATCTTGGATGATCTACTGATTTGTCTGTAACCTCTTGTCTAGTCATGACTAGGCTCTTCCTGAATCAACTACTAACTACTCGTTGGCCCATTCTCATATCCATATTCCGCGTAATCTTTCTTGGGTTGTTTCCTTTGTCTTAACCTACCTCACGTACTGGATCCTTATCTATCAATAACATCCCGGGCAGGAACCCTTACTTCCTTTTCTTGACGTCGTGCTTACATAATGTTCTGGAATCATAGCATATATGTAACATTTGAATAAGTGCAATCTCAACCCTTTCTCATTTTTATCGCATTCTTCCTTTATCATTCCATAGTTACTAGATCCACTTAATTCTGACTTAATGCTACATCATTCCATATTCCCCTTTTAGGGGAGTACTAAGAGTTGGAGCTACGACGACCTGCATATAGATATTTTTCCTCTTCATCTTTGGCGTCCTTTTACATCATCAATGACCCTTACTCGCCTTGCGGTAATCCTTCTGTGCCAAGGATAACAAAATTCCTCACTCGCGATGGTGACACTTAGTGTATCTGGCATATACAGTCCCTTAAGCTTAACTTTGCTCACATTGCTTGCTTTAGGGAAGCGTCTTCTTGAATGACCATTCTTTGAATTCATCATGGATCCTCTTCTGTTGTCCATTCTATTATCGCCGAAACGCAATCTGAAATTCTCATGATGCTGACTATTATTAAATCACTCAGTCCCTAATTCATGTTTAGTTTATCTTGTTCACCAGTCCATATTGATTTCTATTACTCTTTCCTTCTGTTAATCACGTTAGAGTTGCGAACTTATTTCTCGATGTGAGGATGTGACTGTATGGCCTATACTTTTTTGTTGTCTTAAGGCCCATCACCTCTCGTCTCTTTCCTCATTTGACTATAGATTCTGTAACACTCTACCGTTGTCATCCATGTATCAAATCTCACCCATAATGCTTCATTATCCCTCTTCGTACTTCCCTTCTAATATTTCTATCTATCACTTTATTCTAAAAATTTTAACAAGACATTCTTTTCCTTTTACCTCCCCTTGCTCTATCTACTGGCTCTTCGGGCTGCCTAACATTCTCCCTCGACTAGGGACGGGAGCCACACTAAGGTAATATTTATCCCTTCAAGGCTTCTAGGGCCTATCTTTGTAGTGCTTATATCTAGCTGTACTATTTTAGAGTGTAACATCTGGGTATCTCACGAGGTATTAGCACCTTTGCAATATCCTTCGGGAATATCAACTGTCGCAAACAATCCATCCATTATTTTGGGTTACTCTAACCCCAGCCAGATCCTGATATCCCGTCCTCCTCTTACACTACTTCTGTTAACCCCATAGGCATAATTTGAATGGGTGTGACCAATTGTACATACCTCTGTTACTATTGAAGGTAACTCAAAATGCTTAT